TAGGGGCAGACAGTCAACTGGTCAACCAGTCGCTATGATGTGCACTGACCACCAGGGGTCAGACAGTCAACTGGTCAACCAGTCGCTATGATGTGCACTAATCACCAGGGGCCAGACGCACTGACTGGTAGGTTAGCTTGTTGCTGGGGTCTGGCCGATCGGACCTGGCAAGACTGGCCAGACACGCTCTGGAGCCCTCCCATGGTCCCTCCTGGGCTGGCCAACCTGCCATGTCCCTCCCAGGCCCCAATTGTGCACCAATGGGGTCCCTCGGCCTGGCCTGTGCCCTCTTGCAATCTGGGACCCCTCAGGGGATGTTGGAGAGCTGGTTTTAACCCGATCCCGCAGGCCAGGCCAAGGGACCCCACTGGTGCACAAATTCGTGCACTGGGCCTCTAGTACAAATATGAAACTCAACAATAAGAGGCACCCTGGCCAGGTAGCTCAGGTGGTTAGAGCATCAGCCTGATACACCAAGGTTGTGGGTTTGATCCCTGCTCACAGCACATACATGAATCAACCAATGAATGCATAAGTAAGTGGAACAACAAATCAATGTGTTTTTCTCTCTCTCCCTCCTCTTTCTCTCTCTAAAATCAATCAATAAAAATTTTTTTAAAGCCTCAACAGTAAGAAAACAACCCAATTTAAAAAGACCAGAACAGACACCAAAGAAGACTATACATGGCAAATCCTATATAATAAAAGGGTAATATGCAGATAGATTGAATGGCAGAACAACCAATGAAAGCATAATATGCTAATGATATGCTAAGGCTGCTCAACCGCTCGCTATGAGACATGCACTGAACATCAGGGGGCAGACAATCAACTGGTCGACCAGTCTCTATGACATGCAATGACCACCAGGGGGCAGATGCTCTGACCGGTAGGTTAGCTTGCTGCCGGGGTCCAGCCTATTGGAACTGAGCCCAATCGGGACTGAGCAAGATGGGCCAGACACGCCCTGGACCCTTCCTGCAGTCCCTCCTCGGCCCGATCGTGCACCGGTGTGGTCCTGTGCCCTCTCACAATCTGGGACCCCTCGGGGAAGGTTGGAGAGCTGGTTTCAGCCCAATCCCACAGGGAGAGTACCAGACACAGGGCTCATGGCTGGTGAGCACTGCTGCAGCAGCGTGAGCCTCAAATGATTGGGACTGATTGGGCAAGCCAGTGGCAGGCACAGTGGGGCCGGGATGAGTGGGAGTGGCAGGCAGGAGCTGCAGGCTGCGTTAGACTACGGGTTTTGGCCTGATCCCTGCAGGCTACCCAGAGGGACCCCACCCATGCACAAATTCGTGCACCTGGCCTCCAGTAAACATATAAAAAGATGGTTAACATGTCACCATAAGGCAACAAATTAAAACAACAGTGAGATACCACTACACACCTATTAAGATCATTAAGATGGCCAAAACCGGTTTGGCTCAGTGGATAGAGCATCGGCCTGCGGACTGAAAGGTCCCAGGTTCGATTCCGGCCAAGGGCATGTACCTGGGTTGTGGGCACATCCCCAGTGGAAGATGTGCAGGAGGCAGCTGGTCGATGTTTCTCTCTCGTCGATGTTTCTAACTCTCTATCTCTCTCCCTTCCTCTCTGTAAAAAATCAATAAAATATATTAAAAAAAAAAAAAGATCATTAAGATGATCAAAGTCCAAAACACCAGTAACATCAAATACTGGTGAGGTTGTGGAGCAACAGAAATTCTCAGACTCATTGCTGGTAGGAATGCAAACTAGTGCAGACCTTTATAAGGTCTGGAAAACAATTTGGCAGTTTCTTACAAATCTAAACATATTCTTACACTATTCAGCAATGAATTGAAAACCTCTGTCTATACAAAAACCTGCACATAGATGTTTATGGCAGTTTTACTCATAATTGAAAGCTACCAAGATGCCCTTCAATAGGTAAATGAACAAACAAATTCCAAACAATGGAATATTATTCAGCAATAAAAAGAAATGAGCTCTCATGCCACAAAGATATGGAGAACCTTAAATGTACATTGCTAAGTTAAAGAAGCCAAGTTAAAGAGACAGTAAAAACATTCATGGTTGTAAGGGGTTTGGGGGAAGGGATGCAGGGATGAATAGGTGGAGCACAGGAAATAACTAGGGCAATGAAACTATTCTGTATAATACTGTAATGGTGGGTAGGTGTCATTACAGATTTGTCAAAACCCACAGACCATACAGCACTGTGATCCCTTTAATAATAATGTATCAATATTGGCTCATCAATTGTAACAAATGCACCAGAATAATGAAAGATGTTAATAATAGGAGAAACTGTGTGTGTATCTGTACTTTCCTTCAATTTTTCTATAAACCTAAAATTGTTCTAAAAAATAAAGCCTATTAATTGTTCTTTTATTTTTAGAGAGAGAGAAGAAGGGAGGGAAGGAGAGGGAGGGAAGAGGGGGAGGGAGGGGGAGAGAGAGAGAGAGGGAAACATAGATTTGTTGTTTCACTTATTTATGCATTAATTGGTCAATTCTTGTATGTGCCTTGACTGGGGATCAAACCTTGGTGTATTGGGACAACACTCTAACCAACCGAGCTACTTGGCTAGGGTTAAAGCCTATTAATTAAAAGTAAACCTTTTCAATAAACTTCTTACCAGGTCTAATGAAGACATTTTCCACAGACAACATTGCTGCTATTGGAAGTAGTAGATCTTCACAGTCCAGAGAAGCAGCCTTTATTACTGCACATGTCAGATGTGGAGGGAGAGGAAATTCTACCATAGACAAACCCAATCTGGTCACATGGCCATTCCTTAATAGAAAAAAAAGTTATTATATCTTTCTACTTTGGGAGAGTACAAATGAAATGCTCATTATTCAGAATAAATCAGATATAATTTAGATTACCTTCAATCACCCCCATAAATTCAATTTAAGAAACATGATACACTGTAGTCATAGATAAGAAAAACATCAAGATAATAAATTCTTTGTTGTCAAGGGCCAGTACATTCAAAATCCTAAACAATGATGCAAAATCAAGTAGTATAATAGAAACAAAATGCTATGGAAACACAGAGGATGTCCTTGAAGTAATGGAAGCAATGAAAGAGTGATAATTACCAAATCCTTCTCCATCACACAATCATGAGAATAAGGATTCTGGCTCTCTTATCATTTTGATATATCCAGCATAATGCCTGGCACTGAAATAGTACTCAGAAATTACTTGTTAAGTAGTACTAATATTGAACAAAATTCATTTTATTGTATAATTTGTAAATTCAGAATTGTGGTGAAAAAAGGCTGAGGACAATTTCTAATTTCAGGTAAAACAATCCACTCAATTCAAACACATTATTTTATACTTATAAGGAAAGTATTAAGAAGCCTATTTTAAAAAGAAATTAACATCTGTTGTGGTCAGGTTTGGGGGGAGGGGTTTTGTTTGGTTGTCTCTTTACCTGTCAATAGCATCACACTGATAAAGTTGTTTAAGGGCTTCCAAAATAAGTCTCTCATTAGGTGGGTCCAAATAAGGAAACCTGTTTACATGAGATATAAAATGAGATCCCATTTCTTGAACACAGTACGATTTTATACAGACTTGAAACTTCCTTTAAAAGGTGTTAGCACTCCTATTTTTCAAATACTCTCTTCTTTTTTTAAGGCATCCTATGATCATGATCAGCATTCAGCAAAAGGAAATTAAGTTTTTCTGAATCATAGTCTTTGATTAATTCGAGAAGCACCTGTTTTTGATCTCCTTAGCTGGAACACGCTCGCCATTCCTCTTATCTGAATCCTGCCCCATTCTTCACAGCCCAATGTCAACTCTATTCTGTTCTTAGTCCACAATTTTATTATAAGTTTATAAAACAATGGAGAAAAATTCACTGAAAGTGGCCAAAAATTACAGAATGTTTAATAGTACTTCAAAATGGCTTTTGATAAAAAGCCAAGTATGTTCAATTAATTTTACCATATTTGCTTTATGTATCTGTATGTACCAATTACTTAATTTCTCCTGAACGCTTAAGGCAAGTTGCAAATACAATGCTTATTCATCCCCAAAATTCTCAGCATGCATCCCCTGAAAATAAGGACATTCTCTTACATAACCACAATACCATTAATAAACATAGAAGAATTAATAATATTCACGAAGGATAACAATGGCATATAACCAAGCATGAATATATATATACATACTTTTAAACAGGAGCAATAGTTACTTGATTATACCAATCTTGTTTCTCCAATGTAACTTAAGCTTACTGAAAGCAAAAAACTACTCCAGTATTACCATTTCTCATAGTGCATAGTACACAAAGCTGGCTCTACCAAAGATGCTACAAAAAACCCCACCATTTTATCTGGAATTATGATCATTATATACCTTTCATAACAGATAAACAGTGGTCACTAAATGACCCAAATAATATCAGCATGAGGCACACCATTAAACCAAGGTTAAAATATGAGCAAGGGCCTGCCTGGCATGGCTCAGTGGTTGAATGTTGAGCTACAAATAAGGAGATCATGGTTCAATTCCAGTCAGAGCACATGCCTGGGTTGCAGGTTCAATCCTCATTAGGTGGTGTGCCAAAGGCAGCCGATCAATTATTCTCTCTCATCATTGATGTTTCTATCTCTCTCCCTCTCCCGTCCTCTCTGAAATCAATTAAAAACATATTTTAAAAAAATATGAGCAAGGGGCCAAATTCTAATAAAGCATCATAAAGAAGCCTTTTGTATGGGTTTACTTGAACCTTGAGATATAGGGATATCTAAGCCAAATACTTCAAAAGGATTTCTGAGAATTAACCAGGCTCCACCCTAACACATTTTCCTTTTTTTAAAAGCTGTCTACATACCTTATAACATCGTGTATGGCAAGGCACTTTAAGGTCAAAACTACAGATGTCAAACTAGTTCTCTTAATCTCAGGGATCACATGGTCGGGCATACACTGGTTCCAAAAATCTTTACTATAGATCCGAAAGCATTTTCCTGAGGAAGTCCTACCAGCTCGACCACTTCGCTGTAACGCCTCACTCCTTAAGAAGAAAGAAAAACGAAAGTCCCTAAAATGTTCAGCATGGAGGAACCTGGAGAGTATTATGCTACGCAAAACAAGCCAGTTAGAGAAAGACAAGTATCTTACTCATGTGGAATCTAATGAACAAAATAAATTGATGAACAAAATAGATCCTGAGACACAGAGGAAAGGAACAGACTGTCAAATCTCAGAGGGAAGGCGGAGGTAGGTGGGTGGGAAGAGATCAACCAAAGAACTTGTATGCACATGGACACAAACAATAGGGTGGTGAAGGCCAGGTGCGGGGGATAGGGGCAGGCTAGAAGGAGACAGTGGGGGGGAAATGGGGAACACATGTAATACTTTCGATAATAAAGATTAAAAAAAATAATGTTCTGTGTTTCCTAAGCAATTCACCTCCCACCCTGAACCAACTAGAAATTATCTAATCCATGGTTCTTTGAACAAAAAGGCGTGACATAGAGACTTACTTTGAAATTGGGACCACCTCCAGGATGTCCAACCCTAATCTGGGATTGTGATTTAACTGCTTCACAAAGCCACCATCTACCACATACCTAAGAAGAATGAAAAGAAGTTAAGTTTCTAGAAAATACGGAAAGAGTTGTTAATTTTCAATCACTATGGAATCTCCTTTTTCACCAAACTAACAACTACATGATGACTTTAATGTTAACTGTAAAACCTGAAAATCAAGAAATTGGAGCTTCAAACATTACTGCTGGAAATATAAAATGGTTCAGCCAATGTAATGTGGAAAAAGGTTTGACGGTTCCTCAAAATGTTAAACACAGAATTACCATGTGACCCAGAAATCCATTCCTAAGTAAGCACCCCAAAGAACTGAAAACAGGACTCAACACATACTTGTAGATGTATGTTCATAGCAGCACTGTTTGTAAGAACCAAAAGGTAGAAACAACCTAAATGTCCATGGCCCATTAAGAAATGAACAGATGCATAAATTATGGTATCTATATATATAAAGCCTAAGTGACTGTTCGACCAGTAGCTATGTCATCCACTGACCACCAGGGGGCAGATGCTCAACGCACAGGAATGAAAACATGGAACAGACTGATGAATCTCAGAGGGAAGGGGGGAGGGTGAGAAGAGATTAACCAAAGATCTTATATGCATACTAGAGGGGTGGGGTCCCTCAGCCTGGCCTGCGGGGATTGGGCTGAAATCAGCAGTCTGACATCTCCCAAGGAGGCCCGGAGTGTGAGAGGGCACAGGCCAGCCCGAGGGACGCCACCAGTGCACGAATCCGTGCACCGGGCCTCTAGTATACATATAATGGCATATATGTCATATTCTGAGTTACTGTTTAAAGTGTACAGGATTTTATTCTGGGGTGATAAAAATGTTTTAAAACTAGAAAGAGTTGCCCTAGCTTGTTTGGCTCAGTGGATAGAGCGTTGTCCTGCAGACTGAAGGGCCCTGGGTTCTATTCCAATCAAGGGCACATGCCTGGGTTTGGGCTCAATCCCAGTGGTGGGCATGCAGAAGACAGCCAACCAATGATTCTCTCTCATCATTGATCAGCTGAACAATGATTCCCTCATATCACTGATGTTTCTATCTCTCTCTACCTCTCCCTTCCTCTCTGAAATCAATAAAATAATTAAAAATTTAAAAATTATATACTAAAATACTTTTTAAAAAACTAAATAGAGTTGGTGGTTGCACAACGTTGTAAATGTACTAAATACTACTTAATTGTTCAGTGTTAAATGTTAATTTTATGTTCTACGAAACTGAGCCCAGCCGCTGTGATTTAGTGGTTATCATCGACCCATGAACCAGAAGGTCATGGTTCGATTCCCAGTTGGGGCACATGCCCTGGGCACATGTGGGCTCGATCCTAGGGGATGTGCACGGGGCAGCCGATCAATGATTCTCTGTCAACATCGATGCTTCTATTTCTCTCTCCCTCTCCCTTCCTCTCTGAAACCAATAAAAAATATACTTAATAAAAGAAAAAAAAAGAGTGAACATAAATATAATATGCACTTCCTACTCCATTTTCCTATTTATTGCAATCAATAATTACAAAAATGATAGGTGACTTCAAATTAAGCAGGTGAGAAGGGAATTAGTGGAGGGCACGGAGAAGCAAACTCAATGTTTTATGATTAGCTAAGTGGCTTTCTTGGCTTTAAAAGAATTTTTTAAAGTTGTACCTGATTCCATCTATTGTCAAAGATGTTGCAGAAATATTAGTGGATATGACACATTTTCTAATTCCAGGTGGAGGTGGCAAAAATATTCTCCTCTGTTGATCTAAAACATATGTAAAAGGAAAATACTAATTTATAACATGCATTTGTCAAACTAGTTTTGAAAAAGTAACTTCTTTCCATTATGAGTTATATTCTCTTCACCTCTTTAATTATCTTGAATTCAAAATATAATAGCAAAACTATTTTTCCTCACCTTTCACTGTTAAGGTTTCTAGATCCATGGACTCAGTTTATTATTGCTAAAATAAACCCTACAGCAGACACCTTTATGTAGGTCATAGCTCCCTTTGAGAATATTTTAAAACGATGTACCTCCTCTCCATTAAAAGACTCATTTGTACACACATACAAAATTTTCAAACAATTCCCATTTAAGGGCTACAGATTAAGGACCTCTCTCTGCCTTAAAGACTGATTAGCTAAGTAGTTTTTACTTTTTCAGTGTCTGCCCAACGCATGACTACCTCTCTAAACAAGTACACCACACCCATTTCCACTACCCACACTCTGAAGGGTGGGCCACAGCAGCAATGCTTATAGGATGGTACTTGCTCTGATTTATAGCACCAAGGATAAACATCTCCCCCAAGTTAGGCCAATCTGATTCTCCTATGAATTTGGAAGAAGGTCCAAGAGATGCTCACTTTGATTAGGCTAGTTTCTTGCAAAGAGGAAAAGTAAACTTGTCATAGGAAAATGACTAAAGAAAGTGAAGGGCAGGAATCTAGTCTAAAGAGAGAGAAAAATGAATCAGACTTGAGAGTTAACAAGAGAGTATTTCTGAGTTCCTGGCACTCCCTGGCCTTAAGAGGCCTGGGTGTAAATTAAGTAGAAAAATGGATTTGGCCTTTAAGGATAAAAATTGAAATTTTCAGACAATCCGACAGAAAAAGCAAATCACTTACAGGGAAGGGGAAAAAAATCAGGCTGGCCTCAGACGCCTCCACAGCAACATTCAATGCCAGAAGACAACTGGACAACGTCTACCAATTTCTAAGGAAAAGAAAGTGTGACCCAAGAACATAAAATCCAGCCAAGATGTACTTCAAGTAAAAAGGCAAAAGCCAGACATTCTCTAACATAAAAGAGCAATAAAAGAATAGTACTCGAGCCCAGCTGGCATGGCTCAGTGGCTGAGCATTGACCTATGAACTAGGAGGTCATGATTTGATTCCTGGTCAGAGTACATGCCAAGGTTGTGGGGCGTGCAGGAGGCAGCTGATCAATGATTCTCTCTCATCACTGATGTTTCTATCCCTCTCCTTCTCCTTTCCTCCCTGAAATAAACAAAAATAATTATTAAAACAAAACACTCAAGAGCCCTTCTATTTTAAAAAAGTTAACAAAAGTAAGCCAATCTAAAGTTAACCAAAAGTAACGTAGGAATGAAAAAAAAAGTTTAAAAAAAATTGATGGTAAACACTAAATACATCAGAATAATATAATAACAAAAATTAGAAGAGGATATAGAAGAGTAAAAGTATTTAAGTCCTCATCAGATAAGTAAACAGGTAAGCTCTCTAATCAAATATGTTCTGAAAGAAGATACTAACTTCAGCTTAATATTTTTCATCTTGCTAAACTTTAAAGCAAACTTTTATAAAATATTATCTCATGTGGTAAAGATTAACTTGAAGTTTAATAATTCCTTCAAGTAAATTCAAGTAAAATTAAATATATTTTTAAAAAATAGTGCCCTGGCAGAGTAGCTTAGTTGGTAAGAACATCCTCCCAATATGCCAAGGCTACAGGTTTGATCCCTAGTCAGGGCACATACAAGAATCAACCAATGGCCCTGACCGGTTTGGCTCAGTGGATGGGGCGTTGGCCTGTGGACTGAAGGGTCCCAGGAGGGTCCTGGGTTCAACCCGTCAAGGGCACGTACCTTGGTTGCAGGTGCCTCGGGCCCTGGCCCTGGTCGGAGGCAACCAATCGATGTGTTTCTCTCACATCGATGTTGCTCTCTGTCTTTCCCTCTCTCTTCCACTCTCCCTAAAAATCAATGGAAAAATATCCTTGGGTGAGGATTAACAAATAAATAAATAAATAAAAATAAAAACAAATAAAAATATATTTAAATGTATGAAGAAAAAGTCCAGAACAATATATCTCAAAATGTTAATAGTGATTAGTACTTAACCATGTTAGTGGAATCTAAGTTTAAGTAATTTTCTTACTTTGCTGATTATTTTTTAAGTATGTATTTCTTTATAAGCCAAAAAAATATTTTCTCATTTGGGGAAGTTCCACACAGAATAGAAGTTTTTATGTGAAGCTTACTAATCTTATTCCCCTACACCAGGGGTTTTCAAACTATGGCCCGCGGGCCACATGCATATACAAATATTGTATTTGTTCCCGTTTTGGTTTTTTACTTCAAAATAAGATATGTGCAGTGTGCATAGGAATTTGTTCATAGTTTTTTTTTAAACTATAGTCCGGCCCTCCAACGGTCTGAGGGACAGTGAACTGGCCCCCTGTTTAAAAAGTTTGAGGACCCCTGCCCTACACCTTTAATCTTAACATTTAAAGAAACTATTGTAAACAAAGCAAATTCTAGTTACCTACCATATTGAGGTAATGTCTTTGTTTTTCCAGAAGAAAACTATTTGAGGATTTATGTACTAATCTAAGCAAGCAGTTTTCCTCTTTTAAAATGTTGTACATTAATTCAAGGTAAAACTCCTTTGGAAACGCATACTGTCTTATCACCCACTACCAAGTAAATAACCAGTTATCAAATACAGGTATACCATGTGACATCAGGGACAACACTTAGCCTCTACTGTAAAATAAAGAAGTCTGACTATGCAAGACCATATAGTATATGTATGTGTGTGTGTGTGTGCGTGCATGTGTGTGCGTTTTTCTAGAGAAAGGGCCCATGGCTTTTATTACCATTTTAAAAGAATCTGAGACCCTACCCTCTAAAAGAGACTAAGAAGCGCTGAAATCGATCATTACTTTTAGTGCTAAAATTGTCTAATTCCATGCAAATATTTGTCACTTATGTAAAAACAGGCATATTTCAGTTCATACCTTTTTGTGGGGTTCAGCTTTCCCTGGATGCATGACAAATCTGAGAAACTACAATACCCCGAACCAAGGAAGGAAGTCAGAAGAGCAAAGAGGTTTGAGAGAAACAAGAAAAAGGTTCTAATCATAGCATTTGTTGAAAATCCTGCAGAAAGTAAAAAATCTGGAACTCAGTCTAACAAGTATTTAATGAGGACTTTTTCAAAATATTGTACTTGCCTTCAAGAGGTTCACAATCTCTTTGAGAGGATGAGACAACCACAACACGAGGTAGAATGTGGTAAGTGCCACAAAAGGTACAGCAAAGCATGAGGTTCCAAATGAGGAAGAGATCACAGCGAGTTGTGAGGAGGGAAACGGGGAAAAATTTTTATGGAGTTGGTGAAACAAAATAGCAGGATTTCAGCCAGTGAGAGGGGAGAAGAGAGAAAAGAGACGTTCAAGTTAAGGAAATAGCAAACAGTCACCAAAAAAGATGTGGGAGGAAAAGGATTTAAAAAATCCCACAGCACTTCTAGCTTGAGAGAATGTCACAAAGGGTGGCGTTGGGAAGTTCAGCCCAGGGAGCGGGATTGTGTAACCTCGGCAGCAGAAAGGACCCCACAGCACCTCTTCGTACCTGACAGATGAGAATTTTTTCTGCCAGTTAACAACATACTTTAAGGTGTCTCTTTAAAACACTCAGCCACCCTCATGACTAGGCCAGAAATAAGCAAATATAAAATATCCACATTATAATTTTTACTGATTCACTAAACTTAGACATGGGTTATTTTTGAACTCCCTTCCTACAGGCTACAAGCAGGAAACCCTTCTTCCTTCTCCTCACTCCCCAGTTCAAGTTTTCTGTTCCTGAAATAAAGGAAGTAACATAACAGTGTCTTTCCCCACCACCCAAAATAGCAATAATAAAGAAAAAAATTGCTGTATTGTATTAAGCAGGTTTAAAAAGAAAGCCTAAGGGCCCAGGAACCTGACACTCTCCCTATCTTGTCTAATTCCACCTCACCCATTACTTAGTGCATCCGCTCCATTGAATGCTGCTTTGCACTGTTATAAACTGCTGTAATTAAAACTATTATGCTCGCCCTACCTGGTTTGGTGCAGTGGGCTCAAGGGTCCTGGGTTTGATTCCAGTCAAGGGCACATGCCTGGGTGTGGCTCGATCCCCAGTTAGGGGCATGCAGGAGGCAGCCAATCAATGATTCTCTTTCATCATTGATATTTCTATCTCTCCCTCTCCCTTCTTCTCTGAAATCAATAAAAGTATATTAAAAAAAAAAAAACCTATTATGCTCATAATGGATCGCCAGTAGCTTGCACTTATAGTGCCGTTGGAACCAGAAAGGAAACTAAAATAAATACAACCCTTCAGTAATGGCTCTACTCACACCCAGCCCCACATCTTTACTGTGTGCATATGCACTGGGAATTAAGGCTGAAAGCAGGTTGCAGTCGTGCTGGAAGGATACTGTATGGCAACTTAATAAGCTGGCACTTTAATTTAGTCGGGAATGACAGCTGAAGGCACCCAACAGGATACTGACACAAGCAGAGCTGTGCTGCTGGGAGATCAGCACTGCACACGGGATGGCCAATGAAATCAGGGAAAACCGATTAGCAGGCTATGGTAACAACGCAGAAAGGCAAACTAAGGATCCCAAATCTAACAATGATAATGAAAAACTAAAAAGAATGAGAGATCTGGATAAGACAAGGGTAAAGAAAAACTGCAGGAGTTGCCACCTGTTTGGATTGAATGATCTAGGTCAGTGGTCGGCTAACTCATTAGTCAACAGAGCCAAATATCAACAGTACAAGGATTAAAATTTCTTTTGAGAGCCAAATTTTTTAAACTTAAACTATATAGGTAGGTACATTGTTATTAACTTAATTAGGGTACTCCGAAGGCTTAGGAAGAGCCACCCTCAAGGGGCCAAAGAGCCGCATGTGGCTCGCGAGCCGCAGTTTGCCGACTACAGATCTAGATAATAACAAGCATAAGACCAGAAAACCAAGTTAAGAGACCCAGGAGGTCTAGGCTGCAGGAGTGAGTCTGAACTAGAGAGCACTTTCAGGAATCGTCCACAGAGAAGTGAAAGGTGAATCCTAGGATCCAATTTCACCAAAACACATTTTTAAGAAAACAGCAAGCTACGAATGAAACTAGAAAGTAGTCACATTTAGAAGGGAACAAAGGCTGGAGAAAGTGGAAAGGCAGAAGCCTTAGAGAAAGATTGCTCAGGAGAACTAGATGATTAAATAGTATCCCAAAAGAACATTTCAGAGACCTATTATTGTCATCACAAAATCAAAATACATCATGGCCATGAGATTTGAGAAATAAGTCACTAGCAACCTTTAACAGTATAAGAACTGGATTTCAGGATGCTAAACAAGAAGCAAGAGCAGATACAGAACGTTATTTTCAATGTGGTAATAAGGAGGAAAGAATAGCCCTAGCTGGTTTAGCTCAGTGGATAGAATCGGCCTGCAGACTTAAGGGTCCTGGTTTCGATTCCGGTCAAGGGCACATGCCCGGGTTGCTGGCTCGACCCCCCGGGGGGGGGGGGGCGGGGGG